ATATTCATTTCAAGCCCACCAACTCCCACAGCTACCTAGAATACTCCTCCTCCCACCCACCTTCCTGCAAAAATGCTATCCCCTATTCCCAATTCCTTCGCCTCCGCCGCATCTGCTCCCAGGATGAGGCATTCCACTCCCGTACATCTCAGTTGTCCTCGTTTTTCAAGGACCGTAACTTCCCCTCCTCGGTGGTCGAGAACGCCCTCAACTGTGTCTCCCACATCTCCCGCACCTCATCCCTCACACCCCGTCCACGCAATAAGAACCAAAAAAGAATCCCCCTCGTCCTCACGTACCACCCCACCAACCTCCGGATCCAACGCATCATCCTCCGACACTTCCGCCATCTGCAATCCGACCCCACCACCAAAGACATCTTTCCCTCCCCACCTTTATCTGCTTTCCGGAGGGACAACTCTCTCCGTGACTCCCTTGTCCGCTCCACACTCCCCTCCAGCTCCACCACACCCGGCACTTTTCCCTGCAACCGCAGGAAGTGCTACACCTGCCCCCATACCTCCTCCCTCACCCCCATCCCAGGCCCCAAGAAGACTTTCCACATCAAGCAGATGTTCACCTGCGCATCTGCCAATGTGGTATACTGCATCCGCTGTACCCGGTGTGGCTTCCTCTACATCGGGGAAACCAAGCAGAGGCTCGGGGACCGCTTTGCAGAACACCTACGCTCGGTTCGCAATAAACAACTGCACCTCCCAGTCGCGAACCATTTCAACTCCCCCTCCCATTCCTCAGACGACATGTCCATCCTGGGCCTCCTGCAGTGCCACAACGATGCCACCCGAAGGTTGCAGGAACAGCAACTCATATTCCGCTTGGGAACCCTGCAGCCCAATGGTATCAATGTGGATTTCACAAGTTTCAAAATCTCCCCTCCCCCCACCGCATCCCAAAACCAGTCCAGCTCGTCCCTGCCTCCCTAACCTGTTCTTCCTCCCACCTATCCCCTCCTCCCACCTCAAGCCGCACCTCCATCTCCTACCGACCAACCTCATCCCGCCCCCTTGACCTGTCCGTCCTCCCTGGACTGACCTATCCCCTTCCTAACTCCCTACCTACACTCACCTTTCCTGGCCCCATCCCCGCCTCTTCGACCTGTTTGTTTCCTCTCCACCTATCCTCTCCTCTATCCCTCTTCTATCCGCCTCCCACTCTCTCCCTATTTATTTCAAAACCCCCTTCCCCTCCCCCTTTCTGATGAAGGGTCTAGGCCCGAAACGTCAGCCTCTCTGCTCCTATGATGCTGCTTGGCCTGCTGTGTTCATCCAGCCCTGCACCTTGTTGTCTCGGATTCTCCAG